CAGCAACACACCACAAGCCTAGCCTTCGAAGTCACACATACAAATGTTTCACAACACACGGATATACAAACACTACAAAAAGTTTGATATACTTTGTGATTTATAGTAAGGAAAATAAGTAATCGCAAGATGCAAATAAATGTGTATAAATATTCTTTTTATAGACTCACAAGGTAGCCAGTGAGCACTGAACCTTGACCGTGAGTCCGGCTGTGGTGGCGATGGTAAAGGTGGTACTGACGTAGTTTGTGGTCTTGGTAGAGGTGGTGGGGTACGCTGTAGATGAACTGATGGCGGGGTATGGTGTCGAGGTAGTGGTGGTACGATCGTCAAGGAACTGATGGCGGGGTATGGTGTCGAGGTAGTGGTGGTGGGGGTACGATCGTCAAGGAACTGATGGTGGGGTATGCTGTCGAGGTAGTGGTGGTGGGGGTACGATCGTCAAGGAACTGATGGTGGGGTATGCTGTCGAGGTAGTGGTGGTGGGGGTACGATCGTCAAGGAACTGATGGTGGGGTGTGGTGTCGAGGTAGTGGTGGTGGGGGTACGATCGTCAAGGAACTGATGGTGGGGTATGCTGTCGAGGTAGTGGTGGTGGGGGTACGATCGTCAAGGAACTGATGGTGGGGTATGGTGTCGAGGTAGTGGTGGTGGGGGTACGATCGTCAAGGAACTGATGGTGGGGTATGCTGTCGAGGTAGTAGGAAACTGGCGTGGTGGTATGCTGATCACGCACAACATACATATATGAAGATCCCCGTGGCCTAGTTCCTTCCCCCGTGACCATGAACATTGTAAATCATCACATATATTTTTTGCTCGTCACAGCCTACCGTAGTGTCGTGTTTAGGGAAGTACACTTGACTGTTGAAAGTTATGTGACCTAATTTGGGGCATATTGATTTTATTGGTGCTTCCTGAATGAATCTAGAGTATATATGAGGTGTACCGTAGATTCCTGTGTCAACAGCACCGCGACGAATAGCAATACACATTTATTCAACAGTTTCAGATGTTTTCGAGAATATTGTCGTATTCTGATAGCCTAGTCATGCTAAGACGCCATTCAAACATTACAGCAAGAAAAAAAAGATTAGCTTACGAGAAAATTAACTTAATTCCTGAAGATCAGGTTATATATTAACTAATATGTGAAAAGAATTTATGAACTTTTCCTATAAACTCCTCAAGCTAAGAAGAGTCGGAAAAAATGGCTTCTGGAAAACAAGTTTGACGGGAAATGTTTATTTGGGGTAGGAGCTCCACCCCTACCCCAGGGACGCAGGCCTATCATCATGCTCCATCTTCAACTTGTCAACAGCTGTCTTGCATGTGTTCAACACGTATTCAAGCGCTCCTGTAGCGGGTACAGCAGTTCTGAGTAACGTTGGATCAACGTTGTCAACGTTGATTCATATTAATGTCATTTTTCCAAGATTTGAGAATTAGAAGAGATGTTTAGGTCCCCTCCAATACAGTTTTTATGTTCTTTTCTCCTACCCGCCCCCCCCCTTCCTTTTACTACCTGAATACCTAAGGGACTCCATTGGGATTTATGATCCCAAATTCGCGGCGGAGCCGGCCAGTGGGACAAAACATGTCTCCGAATTGTGCAAGCTCCCCATGCCGGGGTCTATCTGTTGACTGTCCCTAATTTCGCCTTAGGCACCCGCCTGGATCATCGGGCCCTAAGTATTGGTGTTTCCCTGGACCTTGCCACCCCCTATCTCCACTGAACACCTGTGTATCTGTGGCTAGACATGGGCAGACTAATACGGCAGCCATGGTCTCATCTGTCGTTGGTCACCGGGAAAGATTGTCAGACAATGAAGCAGTCAATGACATCATCAAGAGAAGTTTGGTGTCTGGAGAGTTCTTCACGATAGAACTCTCCAGACACCAAACAGAGCACCTTGAAAGAAACCAACGTCGTCTATGCCTTCACATGCCCACTTGGGGACTATCAGCCCCAAAGATCTCAGTATATAGGCTAGACAACAACGTTTCTTTCTAGGCGATTAACAATGAACAAACAGGGCTTCATCAAGGAGCATATAATCTAACACAACCAGACTATCACCAGAGAAATCTTAGCAAGCAACACAAATTATCGATAGATAGATAAGAAACAGGAGGCTCGGCATCAGATATATATATATACATATATATATATATATATATATATATATATATATATATATATATATATATATATATATATATATATATATATATATATATATATATATATATATATATATATATATATATATATATATATATATATATATATATATATATATATATATATATATATATATATATAATTATAGGCAGCGCGCTAGTTTGTGATCCCACAGCGTGGTGCTGCCTTTTGGTAAAAAAAACACGTTGTCTATATTACTATATGTTCTAATTTTATGTAAATTTCTATCCACCCAGATAAATAGTGACTATCCATTCAAACAGAACAACTGCTTGTCACACTGGCATGATTCTATTTTTTCTCATTTGAACAAAGTTGCAGCCTATGATACAGTATAGACACTTGAAGCAGGGTTAAGATTCTATATAATTTAGCATATCAGTTTTTCTTCTATTATAGCTGATTGAGAACATATTGTTCCAGTTCAGGATCGAGTAGGGGCTCTCAGAGGAGCAATATGGACATCAAACTACCTTGACGAAGGCGAGCAAGATTTCTCTCATTATTGAATCACTTCCTGGTGTTACGCTGGGCCTCTCGTTAGACCTATAGTCCGCCACGGAAACGAACCAATATTTTCTTCCGGGTTGTGTTATGTAATGTCACTTTAATCTCGCTAAAATGACACATGAAAAGAAAACACTAACGTCCGTATCATAATAAACTGATGGCGTCGTTCACATGACCTGAATACCGCCCGTGGTACAATTCTAAATTTCACTACTACAAGTACTAACCTCGCTCCTGCTCACCGCAAGGACCAGGGATAGACAAGATCAAGGGTGCAACTCCATCCTCGCTGATAATATAGTGAGTACTGAGGCATGGAATACCTTGGCCCTCTCTTGAAGGACTTTTACACTCTAGGTGGGCCAGAATAGTTGCCACCACACCTTGGGTCCACTGAATGAGTGGTATAATGGTTTGAAATGTACAGGTAATTTTTTTTTTTTAATTTGTATCTGTATAGACTTAGAATGTGTCTTCGTTGCTCTCAGCTGGAAGCCGTGCAATAATGAACATGAGGCTTCGCTGCTTCCAGCATGAGGCTACAGTGCTCTCTGCATGAGACCACAGATTTCTTCTAAGAGGTTACGGGAACTGGTAACACTTCACTATGATGATACTAAGCTGCCAGGTGCAGGTGCCACAGTGCATTGTCATGTATTTCAGAATAAACAAAAATAAAAGACAAGAGTTTGAGATTTATATTGCTGAACTTATGCCGTTCACTCTTCTTAAATTTGAAAAACAAATTAATAGATATCTTGCTACCAATTGGCATCACCAGATGACTGAATTAACAAGACAATTTTTATTTTTTTTAAACTCATCCATTCTTTTCATTACTGAAATGGTAATATCTTCAGCCTGTCCTCTTAAAAATAACGTTGCTTTTGGCCGTTTGTCAGTATGGCAGAAAGTGGACGTAATTTGAAAATGAAAATAAAATTGGGAATTTTTTTAACAACAGTAAGTTAAGGGTCCACTGGTAGGTTAGCTGTGCAGGAAATTCTCATAAAGTTTCAAAATTTTATGAAAAACGTTAATTGAAAGTTTCCTCTCCTAACCTTTCCGAGTAGGCCGGACGACTCAAAAAACGGGACAATACGTCACTTTTGTGAGTCGATTTCATTTCAAATTATGTCCACTTTTGGCCATAGTGCGCATACGAGCGAAAAGCGACGTTATTTTTAAGAGGGCCACCAGATGGAGTTACTGGTGTTACTCAATTAAATTCTTAATACGCTCAATAATGTTGAGGGATTCATGCAACCCTCCTCATCCCCTAAACTGTGCAGTCCCTCCTCATAAACAAAGGCCAAATTCTCATTAATCTAGCTGCCAAACAACTTGTTTATGAATGAAAAACACAACACAACACAAGACTCACAACTGATGTATGGACTTTTCTCGCAACCTGTCCTCAGACCAAGTCTATTCCATCCAGCGGTCGACCCCAAAGACGCATTCATCAATTTTAACATGTTGTTCATTCAAAATAGGAATTTTTTCAAATATAAATTAATATTGTTATATATTAGTGTACTGGGCATATGTAGGCATTGGTTTGGTTAGGTTAGGTTAGGTGTGTAGGTTCTGTTGGCGATTATTTGTATTTGTAGTACGTGGGTGAATAATTTACAGCGTTGTGGTTCGAACAAAATTCGTCAGTGAAGCACTTGTTCCGGAAGTGTTCGAACGTCAGCAGTTGTGAGTCGTGTGTAAACCGTTTTTCATTCATAAACAGGGGGTTTGGAGGGTGCATGAATGGACTTTGGGTCTTTGTTTAAAAGACGGGCTGTTTCTCGAGCAGTGCTTCGCTGACGTCCTCTGGTCGAATCGCAAGTCTGCAAATGCTTCACCCAAGTACTACAAACAAATAATCGCCAACAAAATCTAGATACCTAACTTTGCATAGAATTTTCTTGTATAATAATATTCATTTATATATGAGAACAAACCTATTTGTATTGCACATTATGTTAAATTTGATGACTGCGGGAACGGCCGCTACGTAGCAAGCTGAATCCACCAACTGAGGACGAGTTGGTGGATTCGGATTATATGTAAAATACTGAATTATGTAGAGTTTATTGTTATTATTTGAATAATACATTGGAAACTGGACAGCGTTTTAATGAAGGGATTTCTACATATTCCAATGGGATTTGGAGCATATGATTGTTGCCGCCAGAGGCGGCTAGTTTATTGTGCACCCCATACTCATCCGGGGAGTGGGACAGTTGACCCAGGTCCGTGTCCGTGACTGGAGCCGGAGGCAGTCAGAGCGGGGGCGGCCTAGCCTCCACACTCACCACCAAACAATATATTACTGGCGAAAGTGTCACCAGTGAAGCGTTTTGCGTGTGTTAACCGGTTCTTCTCGTGACGGACGATTAGTACCAACTGTGGGGGGAGTCAGTGCATGGATAGTGACATGTATGCTTGTTGTAGTGACAACAACGACGTTAAATAACACTTGGGGAGGGTTACTCGCCGCCCTCTTCAGAGCATCACCGTCGTGATGGACAGCTCCTCTACCCCGAGGTAATATTTATCGCTCACTGTAGTGAAACGTTCCACCACTAGTCTTTTGTATGTGTATTGACCGATGATGTTTATCTAAATTGGCAAGCATATTTAATATAGAATTAATGAAGTATATGTGACATTCGTATGTGTTTGTAGATATCTCGGTATGTGTTGACCTAATTTTGTTGTACACCTATGCACTTTTGTTTTTAATTTAGTGTGATTCACAAGGTGTGGATTCCAGGCTGGTGCTGCTTATTCCAGTATTGGTTTAACATATACATGTAAATTGCCTTTAGTCTTTATTTAGATTTTAAATGACGTTCTAATGTCTATCAGCATGTTCGTATGTTGCTAATACTTCACTGATTGAGTGTAACTGGAGAATGTTTGAAGTATATACATTCCAAAATCTTTTTCTCTTTCCGATTCCTGTCGTCAGATTTTAATTATGCTGGTGTCAGTCTTCTGGTCTTTCTCCCAGAAAGTAATTTTTTGCAGTCCTCTATTTTTCCAATCTTCGCCTTTGCGTCATCTGCAAACATGTGTGTGTGCTCGGGTTGCAATGGGGGCAGTAGCGAGGGGAGTGAGAGATTGTGCGAGAAGGGAAGAGGAAGGCCGAGTGGGGGGAAGGGGAAGCTGTGAAAGTAGTGGGAGGGAAGCGGAGAGGGACGGAGAGAGAGAGGGGGGAGGGAAGCAGAGAGAGGGAGAGAGAGGGGGTAGGGAAGCAGAGAGAGGGAGAGAGAGGGGGGAGGGAAGCAGAGAGAGGGAGAGAGAGGGGGGAGGGAAGCAGAGAGAGGGAGAGAGAGGGGGGAGGGAAGCAGAGAGAGGGAGAGAGAGGGGGGAGGGAAGCAGAGAGAGGGAGAGAGAGGGGGGAGGGAAGCAGAGAGAGGGAGAGAGAGGGGGGAGGGAAGCAGAGAGAGGGAGAGAGAGAGGGAGGGTGATGGAGGTTAAGATTGCAGCATTCTTTAACTCCTATACCTTCCCACTCGCCAAAATAAATTAATATTAATCAATAAATGCAAGCAAATACAAGATCCCAACTATGCCGTGTGCTTGAAATAGTCAGCAACGCGGAGGCGAGCTTCAGGGTACAAACACAGCCTCATCCCCAACTGTTTTTCTCGCAAACATTTCATGTCGACGTCAGTTATACAAATTATTTACATTTTTTTTCGGTTTAATGCAATGTTTGTTGCATTTGTTCATATTTTTAGATAAATATATTTTAATACCATGGGATGATATTGGTAATGAAAGTTAATGGTTTGATTGGATGAGGTTTGTATTGCTGTGTGAACTTTTTTTTTTACTAAATGTAAATATAATCTTTATCAATTTACAAGAGAAAATACTACATTTATATATTTATTTTTCTCGGTAAACCAATTGTTCATATCCCAGAGCATGAGCCATAAATCTAAATGTTACACTTGATCCTGCCTCTCAAGAACTTCAAAATTTTGTCTACCGAGTAACCCTCCTGCCTGCCTATCCACACACAAAAAATGTAATTAGAAAGTAGCATTATTATTTTATTTTTTATTTTCTTGCATTTTATGTCAATATGGAAAATTAAGTCATTAAATCCACTCTAATGCTTGGTCCACATAAAGCTTTAAGAGTCTGTAATCCAGTTTACAAGAAAAACTTTCTGCTTACAGAAATACAATGTTATTCTCAATTTCAGTATATTGGTCACACCTATTGTTGTTCTTAATGCCCAACATCAACAACCTATTATTTGTAAGGAAGGTCTCATGAATATATAGCGATTCAATAATTCAAGTTGTTTTGGGGCAATAAATTTAACATGAAGATTTGCCTATATTACTCGCCAGTTAGTGGGTATGCCTCCTCTACTCTAGGAACTATATGTGGGAGCAGAACAGCATACAGGTGTTTATTGTTCATCGTTAAAAACCTTCAATATTACAAATCCGCCTGAGAACATAGCTTGCTGTGTGAAAACTGGTCAGATATCAACGGTATTGACGAACCACGTAATAGTCCTTCATCTTGGGCTGGTTAATGTAAGAATTGTTGCCGACATAACTGTCCTTGTAGATATCTTAACCTTGGATAAATAACATCCTCACATGCCGGTAGTAAGGTATAAGAGTTTTGGTATGTGTCCACACAATTGCGTATTCATTTGTATGTACATGTGAAGTTGTTTATTCTTTTTCTATAGCAGTCGGCCGGCGGTAGGGTTCACACACAGGCATACTGAAAGATTGGTTTAACAAGCAGTTACCGTTTTCAGCACGGGGGTTGGTGTATAACACTGAATCAATCGCCCGTGGAACACATTAACAAAATAACGTCAGTGACCTATGTAAGAATTCTTCAGTATAGTGTACACCAGAAATACAAATTCAGTGTTAATCAAATGAGTGGCTATTGTAGAGTTTAACTCCTGTGCAGATTCATTAAAATAGGTGCTGGGAAGAGGAGGCTGAAGGCAAGGTATCAGATAGAGAAGAAACCCGACAAGAATCGCGAAGAAAGCCTCTGAGCATCGATATAAACCGAACCAGTCCCCCCGTAGCCTAGCTACTCTGAACGGATGTCATCGGATGTGTTTGCTAGCTTTCCGAACATAAGAACTGCCATTAGAAATCTGCTTCAGGACTTGATCATACATATACAAGACATACATCAAACAAATTCTGTTATTACAGCACTAACATGGCGTCCTTATCTGGTTAAACATCATAAAACGAAGCTGAAGAGAAAGCCTAAAGGCTGATTAGCCATCAGCCTATTCCCAGAGCTGAAAAAAAGACTGAAGTAATCCTCGAGTCACGAAGTTAAAGTCAGGAGGAAGATTACCACACGCATTTCTCAGTATAGACAGGGCCGACAATGACTACAGTTAGTAAAGGTAGCCGAGCAAGGGGACAGGCAGAAGCAGGGTTGCCAAAGGTGCCAGACACAATATATATAAATAAAAATGTAAAAGTTCGTTTGTTCAAAATCGCGAATCTCCAAAAGTTCTTCACCGATTGCTATAAAATTTTGACACAACGTTCCATTCGAATACGCGCGCGTTTTTATATACATACTATATACATGCCACACCTGTGACAGGTAAAAACACTTTTTTAACAGCGCCATCTGTTGGACGTAAAAGCAACACATGCTGTAATCTCCGAAAGTTCTTTACCGATTGCTTTGAAATTTTGACACAACGTTCCATTCCAATACGTGCGTTTTTATATACCTACTATATAGATGCCACACCTGTGACAGGTAAAAACACAGCGCTGTTTTTCAAAAACAGTGCCATCTGTTGCACTTAAAAGCAACACACGCTATACTAAATGTTACATTCCATTTCAATGTTTCCAATTGCATTGATAAATTGAATTTTCATAGATTTTGATTTATTTTCTTTTTTATTTAATTATTTTGTGGCATTGCATTGGAATTGAGCTGTGTTGTTTACCATACCGTTCATTTCGTGAGTATAATTATTTTTAATTTTTTTCATTTCGTTTTTTAACTGTTCTTATTTTTCAGTGATGGGAACATCAGATCATTTGATGTTTCCATTTTTCTGATGGAGACATCAGATCATTTGGGAACGCATCAGACGAGGGAGTGGGAAATGGTGGGGAGGACGAGGGGACGGGAGGGGGGGGATGGTGGAGAAGACGAGGGGAGGGGGGGGGGAATGGTGGGGAGGAAGAGATGACGGGGGAGTAGGGGATGGTGGGGAGGAAGAGATGACGGGGGAGTAGGGGATGGTGGGGAGGAAGAGATGACGGGGGAGTAGGGGATGGTGGGGAGGACGAAGGGACGGGGGAATGGTTGGGAGGACGAGGGGGACGGCGGAGTGAGGAATAGAAGGGAGGGCGAGGGGACAGGGGAGGGGCTGAGCCACAGCAATGCGTGGCCGGGTACAGCTAATAATAATAGTATTTTTCAGTGTCATGAGTAGTCAATAAAGAGAAATACACTATGAATTGAAATTAATACTGTACGTAGCTTTTAATGTACATAATAATGGACGCTAATGAACTTTAGCGCCTGTATTCTAGTCGAAAGTTAAGAGGCTGGTACCAAAGAGCTGAAGCTCAATTAGAAGAGTAAACATCCTGACACGTGTGCACATCTGGCAAGCACACGCACACATATACAAGGGAGCACACGCACACATATACAAGGGAGCACACGCACACATATACAAGGGAGCACACGCACACATATACAAGGGAGCACACGCACACATATACAAGGGAGCACACGCACACATATACAAGGGAGCACACGCACACATATACAAGGGAGCACACGCACACATATACAAGGGAGCACACGCACACATATACAAGGGAGCACACGCACACATATACAAGGGAGCACACGCACACATATACAAGGGAGCACACGCACACATATACAAGGGAGCACACGCACACATATACAAGGGAGCACACGCACACATATACAAGGGAGCACACGCACACATATACAAGGGAGCACACGCACACATATACAAGGGAGCACACGCACACATATACAAGGGAGCACACGCACACATATACAAGGGAGCACACGGACACACATACAAGGGAGCACACGGACACACATACAAGGAAGCACACGCACACACATACAAGGGAGCACACGCACACATATACAAGGGAGCACACGCACACATATACAAGGGAGCACACGCACACATATACAAGGGAGCACACGCACACATATACAAGGGAGCACACGCACACATATACAAGGAAGCACACGCACACATATACAAGGGAGCACACGCACACATATACAAGGAAGCACACGCACACATTTACGAACACGTTACAGCTCGAACACATGTTCAACACCAATATAGAGATAACATCCACTGTAATTATCTTGAGTTCTCTTGTTCCTGTTCCAATCTTGCTAACATTATCCCGTCGGTCCGCGGTCACCTTGTGCTTCTAGTCTTATCTAAATGTCTCGCCGTCAGAATGTATGACATCTTGGCCGAGGACAAGATCACAGTG